CCCCCCCTCCCCACTCTGTTATATGTATCTCTATTTTGTCTACGTTTCAGGTCCTCAGGAAAAAGCAGATGCCCTTACCAGGTAAATGCATACAGTGGGTGGTTGGCGGGCGCTCTTGTGTAGTTTGCTTCTTCTTTCCTATCAAACATCTGCCATCCTTATCTCCCCGTCTTCTTTTTAATGTTTGTTACTCTCTTGTAACACCTCTAATTTTCTGGCGCTCATATGACCTTATACCATTGTGGGCGCCGTAAAACCTTTACTAAAACTAAACAAAATGCATACATCATAATTAACATTGTAAATTTGTTGATGATGATGATGATGATGATGATGATGATGATGCTGATAATGATGATAGTGATGATGATGATGATGATGATGATGATGATGATGATGATGATGATGATGATGATTTTACTTTTTTATTTTACACAACCTCTCCGCACATTTAAACTTTAAGATTTCAAAGTTCTGATTTAAATACATTTTTGAACATCATTTGGTTTATTTAATGTATATGGATTTTAATGGCAGACTTTTTTGCCGTCACCCTTAATAATACTACACCTTTTCCCGATCAAACATCAAAATACTGAGTTCAAATTGTGCAGCAATGAAAGTTCAAATCTATCAAAATACTCAGATTAATTCAACATAGAGAGTTCAAATTCAACACAATGGAAAAAAAAAAACGTAAGCAAATTTGATTTGACTATGTTGAATAAATTTGGTTATGTTTCATTTGAACTCTTTATTTTGATATTTATGAGGCGTGCTGACAAAATGAGTTACTTCTCGCGATTCAAGAATGGAGATATCGGCCGAAAATCAACATTGGGGTCCGATTTAAAGACTTTTAGTTGATTCCATTTTGTTCAAGTCTACCGTGTCTTTTATTATTCCATGCTTACAAATTGTACAAACTTCACCTAAAGAGTTGATGTATCAATTTTCATATGGCTAAAACCCGAAAGAAAACTCATTTTGTCAGCACACCTCACATTTTTTTTATAGTAGAGTGTTTTACGGCTATTTTTAAAAAAATGTAAGGTGTGCAGACAAAATGAGTTTTCTTTCGGGTTTTAGTCGTATGAAAATTAATCCATCAACTTTTTAGTTCACCTTAATTTGATCGAAAACAAATAAATATTATTTTAATTATTATGCTGCCGATCTGTAAAATAAGTAAAACTGTTTTTGTTTTTCTGTAGCTTCATCGCAGGCGCAAACACAGGCGGAGACAGAAGTAGAGAGCCCACGACCTGAGCCAGTGGCGTTTGCTCACGTACTACTCGGTGAGTACGACAGTATTTCTTACCGTGTTTAGTCACTGAGTGTCGTTGGTTCTTCTTGTTCTTTTTCTTCTTGTTCTTTTTGTTCTTGTTCTTGTTCTTGTTCTTGTTCTTGTTCTTCTTGTCCTTCTTTTTCTTTTTCTTCTTGTTCTTGTTGTTCTTCTTGTTGTTTTTGTTGTTTTTGTTCTTGTTGATTTTTTTTATTCTTCATCTTGTTCTTGTTCTCGTTGTTGTTGTTGTTGTTGTTGTTGTTGTTGTTGTTGTTGTTGTTGTTGTTGTTGTTCTTCTTCTTCTTCTTCTTCTTCTTCTTCTT